ATAATTTTGACATAGAAAAATATATAAATTCAAACACTTAATACATAATACTTTTCACAACTGAATTTGTCTCTGTTTCCCCAACATCAAGGCCCCATGAACAACTCAAGCCAAAGCTAATTTGCTCCAACTGAACACCCCTGCTGCCTGTTGAAACAAGGGATTGTCACGGAATGATAAGTTACCTATAAACAATACATTTAGGGAAAGCTCTGAAATATAGCCACTTGAGAACGAACCATTGGTGAGCAATTAAAACAAGCAGGTCCTGCTTCTTCACTAGCCAGTGTGGTTTCTTTCTCTTCTTCCCGGAGACTGGTTTAGAGAACGATATCCTTCAGACGCTTCACACCAGGGGACTCTTTGTTGCGACCTTCCTTCAGAATGGGGTTGACCTCATGCATGACTTTCTCGCTGTCAGCTCCACGGGGCTCAGCTTCAGAGGGACGAGAAGGGCCATTGTTGACATTGTTGGCATACTGCTCCAGATCACGGGCCGGGGGAGCCAGCGCAATGGTGTAAGACACGGAAGGCTTGGTGGGTAGAGGGCTCTTGAGGTGGAGCGGGGAGGTGACAGGGCTAATCGCCTCACAGCCATTGCCTGCCTCCCGGATAACGCTGTTGACCTTGGGGCTGCAGATGGTCACATCGACAGTCCTCTTGCCTTTAAGGGTGGGCCTCTCCTCAGCCGGGTGGTTGCTGACATCTTTCCCAAAGGTTGCAAAAGTCCGTTTGGTGGGGCCGCAGTCGTCATAAGGCTCAACATCAGCAGCAGCAGCTTCAATGGACAGCGCAATGATGTTCCTCACATGCTCTGGGGACTTGGAACGGATGGGCATGGGATTCCGGGGCATCCAGCACCTGTCAGAGTGGCCAAGAATCCGGCATTCTTCCCGGCAATGAAATCCCTCATTCTGATCTGTTTGAACAAAAGAAAATACCAATTTCATCAGCTTTTCCCAGGAATCACTGTTACTCCCCAGTGTTCTGGTTTCTTAGATATCCACAGACCCCTCTGGGAAATGGCACTTTTAGATAGTCCTTTATTGCCTTTTGGGACAAGTATGAAGAACTGGATTATTAAAAGGCTGTAGATCTTCCCCTATGTACATCCCTTTTAAGGTTCCCACTACTGACAAAACTAAACAACTAAAGAGAAACACATTATGATGAAAATACATACATATTCTAAAGTTTATCCGGCACATCAAGGTGCTGAGAGTCAAGCATTTTTATCAACAACTCCTGCTAAAAATCACCTATGTTTGAAACTGGATTCAGGAGATGAGGGAGTGGAGGCAGGGAAGGGAAAGCAACAGTCAGTATATTTAAGAAGCCTTCACCATATTTTTGAACAACAGCACTGCCCAACACCCTTCCACCCTACCCATCACTGATACACAGTGCTTAATTTTAGATTGATATCCTACTCTCCATGAAAACCCAATCACACCCCTTCCTTTTGACCACCAGTCCCACCAGCCAGTCTCCTCACTATGCCACTTCCATGACTTTATTTGCCATCAGAAGGAATATACTGAGATCCCTTCTTTCCAGCTGACTCATAAGTTTCAATTGGCCCTATGTAAACATCAGTCACATGTTGAGCATCGTTAATTAGACCCAACTAGCCATCCTTCCTTATCTTTCTTATCTTCAGTTTTGTTGGAGAAATACTTCTTAAAATAAAGAAAATATTCATGGATTATTTTAATTGTATCCTGCAAGATCTCAGCAGTTACAATTCATAATTATTGGGGAGACATACATTTCTCTTTCCAGGTCAGGTTCACTAAGGGTTAAAGCTTCAATTTGGCTCTCAGAGAGGCTTACTACACAGGCTTTATCAAGCATGAACCCAGGGTTAACTTCTGCCTGTTACTGGAAAACTGTTAATCTCAATGTTTGTTTTATAGCCCTAGTTTTCCAGATCTAATTATATTTATGTTACATTCTTACAAGAGGATGACCTAGTAAAAATTTTCATCACATTGCATAATGCATCAAAATATGAGCAGCTTAACATTTACAAAAAATACATATATATACATATGTATATAAAATATACATACATATACATATATATGTGTGCATGTGTGTGTGTATATATGTGTGTGTGTGTATATATATATGTGTGTGTGTGTATATATATATATACTGTGACTGATTTTTTGCCAGGGGAAGACGTCTGCAATTCAGTCTTACCTGGCATCAATCTATATATAACACACCTTCCTTGTATACTTGTATTTCTATTTTGTTGGCATTTTTTGGTTGCTTCATTAAAGAGTAAATGGCATAACAAAGCAAGGAATTGCTATGCCTCATTCATCAAAAGTTCTTTGGTGAAGGGGAACAAGGAAGAGGGCTCAAGGAATAATGGTTGAATTGGCTGTACACTTCATTGTTTGGAGGAAAGATATTAGAAGCTTGTTAAATATCAAGGATCTAATCTAAGCTAAATCCAGATTTCAACACAATTCTGGGCATGGTCCCTGACCTCACTTAAGCTACTTAAAAACAAACTAAAGACAAGACCTCTTCAGTGTACCTGGACATAATTTGCCAATGGACCCTTTCAGCCCCCTTCCAGTGGCGAAATAAAACACTCAGAATTTTGCACAGTGGGAACCAAATAACAAGTGAACATCACAAACAGAGAAAGTGACTTCCACATAGATAGGACAATGTTTCATGCAAATTCCAGCACAATTCCACATCAGGCTGCATGGCCACTTCTGCAAAAATGAAAGGTCTATCAAAGCCCTTTCTCTGCCCCTTCCCTGCAAACTCTCTCAGTTGCCATCTGATGCCCTGTTATCATTCAACATACATATGTACCTGAGAGGCAGAAAATATGAAAGTAAGGGAAGCGTGTTGAGATGTACTTGAGAAGCACTTTGTGTAGACTAAACAGAATGAGTGGAAGAGTTAGTTGATCCACTTTTAATCAGTTTCCTCCAAATATAGTGCTTTCTCCAGGAGGTCCCAAGATCACTTTACTAGAACAGAAGTCACATCTTTAGGGTTTCCCAGTAAGCTGCTTTTGCCTCTTCGTCTCTACTGAGGCCTATCTGGTACCTTTTCAAATAATACCTCTAAAAAATTAGTAAGAGTGTTTCAGGGTAGAGAGAGTAAGCAGGTGCAAGTCGGGGGAAAGTTCAATAAATTATTTCAATTTCTACAAATCAGAGTAAAATTCCCTGGAAACCAACAAAAAATGATCAGAAAGCTGCAAGATATCTGTCCTTTTTGTCCCTAACTGAAATACATAAAAGCATAAAGACCTAACCTTAGGGCCCTGAAACCATGGACATGTGAGCAACTAAGAAACTCCCAGCCAGCCCTGAAACCACATGAGCAACTATGAAAAGAAAATCCCAGCCAGATTAAGACTGATATTGCAGGCCACTTGCTCACACTTTTAAAGCAGAACAGTAGTGAAGTACAATTGAGTAGAATCTACCCAATGTTCTCAACATGAAGCTTTTATTTATTTGACAGTTGTTTTTTCGTTTTTTTGTTTTTTTTAATTTTTTTTTAGATGAAGTCTTGCTCTGTTGTCACCCAGGCTGGAGTGCAGTGGCATGATCGCGGTTCACTGCAACCTCTGCCTCCCAAGTTCAAGGGATTCTCCTGCCTCAGCCACTCGAGTAACTGGGACTACAGGTATGCGCCACCCGCTCGGCTAATTTTTGTATTTTTAGTAGAGACGGGGTTTCACCATGTTAGCCAGGCTGGTCTCGAACTTCTGACCTCGTGATCTGCCTGCCTCAGCCTCCCAAAGTGCTGGGATTACAGGCGTGACCCACCATGCCTGGCCTTCTTTGAGTTTTTAATATGTAGTGACTGTCCTCTGATTTTGAGATTCAGTTTTTTTCAACACCATTCAATAGGAGAATGCCACCCATGTGCCACCCTGAATCCAAGTACAGTGCTCCTTCCCTATACTAGGCCACCTCAAATTAACTGCATGAGGAGACTTGGAACCCCAGAATACAGGGAGGGAGAATAGGGAGCCCAGAGGCAGACACCTCCAAGGTCTTATAAATATAGGAAGACAAGAGCAAGGAATTCAATCTTCTCTGAGACTTCTCTGCATAGGTAGTACTTGCCTTCAGCTTACACATTGTCTAAATGAAACAATCACTGTCTGGGAAAAGGGAAAAGTAGACTAACTCAGGACATACCCAAAAATGTAATCAGTCTAAGCCTCCCTACCAAGCTCATAGAGCCTTCTCCAGCTCCATATTAGCTGGAATCATATGCAGTTTTCTCAGATTACTTATGTAAACTTATATGCACTGCCATCACCTCATGCAAGTGAAGATGTGAATCTAA